CTCCCTCCCTCCCCCGCTACCTGGCACGCCCACGCATCCTTGGCCCACGTCCAGGTCCACAAAGACGGGACGCCGGCCCAGTCTGAGCAGGGAAAAGGGAGGGGGAGGGGGGAATTAAAGTGAGCATTAAAGTTTTATTTGAAAAGGGGGGGAAAAGGGACGAGGATTCCATGATGATGGTTATTGTGATTCTCGTGAGGTTAACAACGGGTGATAAGATTTGGGGAAGGGAAAATCTCCGAGCACACCCGCATAGGGAGAGAGAGAGAGAGAGAGCTTGGTAGAGGGAGAAGAAGAGAGGGAGAAAGAGAGAGAGAGAGAGGGAGAAAGAGAGAGAGAGAGAGAGAGAGAGAGAGAGAGAGAGAGAGAGAGAGAGAGAGAGAGGTAGGGGAAGAAAGAAGAGGAGACCCTGCATCAAAACCAGGGAGATTGTTGACAAGGAAGGGGCGGAGGAGGCACACGTGCGCATGCACATGCTAGTAGACAAGATATCAATAAGTAGATTAGGGAGCTCCATCGCACGTCTGAGGGACTCCCAGCAGTAGATCAAAAGCTTGCAATCAAATACGCGCTCTTTGCAACGACACACGCTCCCGTGCGACGCCAAAAATGGCTGTGTATACCGCACAATACACTCGTTTTCTTCGGTTGCCGTGCCTGGGGACAGTGCTTTTGATCCTTTGAGTCTATCTTCTACACCGGTGCTCCGTCCACGCACCCAATATCTGACCGCCAAGTTTTCTGTCGCTCGCCCCCACTGATTGGGATAGTTGTCATCCTCCCTATATGATAGGTTCCATGTCCTGGAAGAAGGCGCCTTCCACCCCCCCACTACTAAGCGTCGGATGCACCCAAGAGACCAGCGCTGGCTCCACCAGCCATCGTTACGTCCTCCGTCAATCCCATCGTAATGGCGTTCAATCCCTTTGTAAAATTGACTCGGGCACCTACTGCCACCCCTATCCCCCTACCCCCCACCGATTTCCCTCTTCCGTTCCAGTACCGTTCGCCCTCGGCCCTGCTTTCCTCCTCCCACTCCTCCTCCATCCTCGATTCGCACGTCCAAGGAGCCACCCCATGGCTGAGACCATCCGCCTTCTCCTCCTTGTGCCCCTCCTACCGACCCGCCAACCGGTTCTGGATCTGTTTATGGACCAAACACAGGTACTCCACGTAGGACTGCTCGTTCTTCTGCCGATCGTCCACCAACATTTTGATGAAATGGGCCTCGGAGGGGCTCCCTGACCCGGCCACCACCACCTGCATGGCTGGAACCGCCCCTTTCCCGACCCCATATCCGCTCCGATCCCCGTCACACAACTCCTCCAGCAGCTCCAGCACCCTCCCCGCCATATCCGACGTCTCTACGGCCAAGGCTAGGGTGCACCCGGCTTCGTGCGCGTTCTCCGGCGGGCCCGACCGGTTGAAGAGGCCGGTCCATACCCTCGTCCCCACGTCCCGCCCCACGTAGAGGTAAGTTTGATTCCAAGCGTCCAAGAGGAAGACCCCGTCGTCGATCAAGCTCTCGGCGGAGCATCCGTTCAACCGGAGCAAGCCCATCGAGCCCGCTGTGTCGTCCCGCCCGCCTCCCACACCCACCACTTCGTAGAGACGAGGGTATGTCATGTGCACCAAGTGCTTGGCAGGCGCCGACAAGAATGCGTGCAAGGTGGCGGCCCGGACGTCGGCCGTGGGGTCCGGGAGGCCGTGGGCACGCCCAGCCTCGGGGGGGTTCACGCGCAGGGCATCGCTCTTCAGGAGGGCCAAGGCGTACAGAGGCAGGAGCTTGAGCGATTCGGGGAGGATCAATTGGCCGGGGGGGGAGGACGCTGCGCAGAGTTGTCGGTATTGGTAGAGCATGTCCACGCAGGCGCGTGTCAGTTGTTCCCGGACTCGCACCAAGGGCTCCGACCAGGCCTGCCAGACGGCTTGCTTGACCAGGGTGGCGTAGATCGCTTCCATGTCCGCATACCGGAAGACACCCGAGACAGCCGAAGCCGTCGGGAGCTGCAGATTGTGGACACGGACCATGCGTTGGCCGGTCCCCCCCTGGGTGTACAGGAGGGCAAGCTGGAGGTAGACACGGCTGCCCTCCTTGATCTTCTCCCCGTCGTGGAGGAATTCAGCGACGAAGGATTGGGACGGGTCCAGGGCGGCCAGTTCGAGTTCTTCGGACGGGTGGATGATACCCGGAGCCACGTAGTGCTTGAGGCTGAGGCCGACGGAGGAACGGATCTTCATCACAGCTTCCTGGGCGAGGGGGGAGGCGAGGGCGTTCCGGAGGGCCGTGAGGAAGGTGGGCGTGAGGGACGACGGGAGGGAGGCAACGGCCGCGGGGGAGGTTGGGGACGCAACGGGCCCGGGGAAGTAATGGAGGCGTCCGGCCGTCATGTGCGTGAGTGTCCCCAGGGTGCCCAAATCCAAGAAATTGGAAAAGACGGAGGAGGAAAGACCGGGGGAGGGACCAGTGGAGGACGGGACCGAGGGAGGGGCGGGGTGGCAGATGAAAATGTCGAGGCAAACCTGCCGACCGGCCAAGACCGAGCCCAGTCGCTGGTAATAATCCCCAAGGGCCTTATCGTCCTTCGACTTCGCCACCGCAGCCGGGCCCGTCCCGCTGCTCACGGAGGATTTGCCGGCAATGCATCCCCCAACCGGGCAATAGAGTGCGTTCTCCCTCTCGGAGCCGTAGTCTCTGGGATCTGCCCTAAGACGAAGAGCACCCGCCCCGCGCGTCGGCCTAGGGGACAGACCAGGCGCCCCCGGGAGGGAAGAAAGATGGCGGGTCGAAAGGAGGGAAAAAATGAGG